AAAAGCAACTCGGCAGCCAGCTAAATAATTAATAATCAGCCCCCCCCCGCCCTCAGCAAACGGGGGAACCTCTGGTGCCCAGCCAGGCTGGGCCGTGCAATGCCCGGTACTGGGAGCATCCCCCAGGGTGTGGGCTCACCGTCAAATTCGGTGTAGACTGTGTCCTTGAGGAAGGTGCCGGAGCCAAAGTCGATGAGCTTGAGCTCGCCGGTGGAGAGGTCGACAATGATGTTCTCGTCCTTGATGTCGCGGTGCAGGACACCGCAGCTGTGGCAGTGCCGCACGGCCTCCAGCACCTGGCGGAAAAGCCCCCGCGCCAGCTCCTCGGACAGGGATCCCCTCTCCGTGATGAAGTCAAAGAGATCCTGTGACGGCTCCGGACGCTCCAGCACCAGCACAAAGCTGTCGGGCAGCTCAAACCAGTCGAGGAGGTGGATGACACCACGGAACCCGGAGCCCACCTTGTTCAGCAGCACGATCTCCATCGGCACACGGGTGCCAGTGGGCTGTGGGGGGGGGGAACATGATGCTGTCAGTGAGGATTGATGCAGCACTGAGGGTCTGGTACCCCCCACCTGGGATGCTCCGGTGTCCCTGGCCTCACCGGTGCCTGGGCATCCCCCCTCCCCAGGGGATGCTCCGGTGCTGCCCTGCCTGGCTTCACCAGCTTTAGTGGTGCCTGGGCATCCCCCCACCCAGGGGGTGCTCTGGTGCCCCCCAGCTCAGCCCCACCAGTGCCTGGGCATCCCCCTGCCCAGCCTCACTGGTCCCACTGGTGCCTGGGCATCCCCCTGCCGGGATGCTCCGGTGCCCCCCCCTGCTTGACTCCACCGGGATAATCTGGTGCACCCCTGCCCGGCCCCACCGGTGCCTGGGCACCCCCCACCCAAGGGATGCTCTGGTGCCCCCCAGCTCAGCCCCACCGGTGCCTGGGCATCCCCCTGCCTGGCCTCACCGGTGCCAGGGCATCCCCCCGCCGGGATGCTCTGGTGCCCCCCACATCCGCCCCCCTGCGCGCACGTCA